AAGTATGCTCTAAGGGTAATTATGGTATGATCCTCTTATGTTATGATGATCTATGTAATGAATATGCCTATGACTTATGCTTTTCCACTATCATAATAAGATTATGAACATGAATAATGAACTAAGGATACTTCAAGGAAGTATTGTAAGTATGTTTTGATATGAGGTTCTTTGTATGATGTATGCTTAGTTTGGATTGTAGCTTGAAATGCCCTTCCAATACACGTGTGGCTAAAGGTGAATGTTCCCTTGTCTATGAGAAATAAGCTAAGGATGAGATCAAAAGATGATAAATATGAATGAGTGCCTAAAATGACTTGCTTAGCATGGGTGGGATTATGGGGTCTTATCCATGCATTGCACAAGCTTGCCTTGAGGTGACTTATGAAGTGTTTCTCTTATGTTATGCTAAACTAGATGCATTGATTATGCCTATGACTACGTTGTTATTTCTTATGCTTATAGCCTATGTCTTATGATTATGTCTCTTATGCTTATGACTTATGTTATTGTCTCTTATGATTTTGGTATATGTCTTATGTTGACTAATGCCTCTATTATGCTTATGTTGATGATTTATGCTAGCCATCATATTTAGTACATTATTGTACTAATGCATATTTTTGCCTACATTCTTATCAAATGTAGGGTTCGGCGATATTGACTTCCATCCTCGGGGCTAGGTTCGTAGTAGATCAACAAGAGAAGTTTTGGTGAGTCCTCATAGCATCGAGGACTTTATCACCCTTTCCTTTTTATGTCTTTCTTTTATGTTAGAACTTTTGTATGGGTTGTGTCCCTAACTCTTTTCAAGTATTAGATGGTTTGAGACAAGTGTAATAGACTCCCACTTCGTTTTATGAAACCTTGATTGTATTGAAAAATGTTTTAAATTTCCATACTTTTCTATTATCTTATGTTGTGATATGCTAAGTGGCTTACATGGGTCCTTCGAGGTTCTATGTGTCATGTTACATCTAGGGGGTACCCCTGAGTCGTGACAAACTTGGTAATCAGAGCACAAAGTTTAGAATAGTTCTAGGATGTCTCAAACCACGTCTAGTAGAGTCTTGTTCATAAATGTGAAGCGCACCACATTTATGAATGAGAGGCTATTAGATGTTTAGGAAATTTCACTTCTTCATTCTCTAAGTCGTGCCATAGAGTTTACCTCTATTAGGTCTTTCTCCTAATCTGTGCCCGATGATTTTCAGGATATGACCACTACAAGGGCTAACGTTAGAAGGAATGAGGAAGACAATGTGGATCAAGAAGTTCCTCATCAAGCTCCAATTCACCATTTGGAAGAGAAAGTAACAAATGAGAAGTTTAGGTTTGGTTTTCAAATGTTGGCTCAGGTTGGGATAGAAACTCTGGAATTTTATGGGTCAAAAATAGAGGAAGATCCTCAAGAGTTTATAGATAAAGTCTCTAAGGTGTTGGAATTTGTGGGAGTGACTCCGGTAGAGAAGGCGGAGTTGGATTCTTACCAACTCAATGGGGTTGCTCAAGTTTGGTTTAATCAGTGGAAAGATACTAGACCAATAGGAATGGGTCCCATAGAGTGGGAAAGGTTCAAGAGTGCTTTTCTAGACAGGTTCTTCCCTTTATAGATGAGAGAAGCTTTAGTTCTTGAGTTCATTAACCTTAGGCAAGGTAATATAAGTGTTAAGGAATATGCATTGAGGTTCACCCAATTGTCTAAATATGCCCATCCTAGTGTCCGATCCTAGGTCGAGAATGAATAAATTTGTGTCGGGTGTGTCCGACTTGGTAGTGAAAGAATGTCGTACGGCCATGTTTGATCATGATATGAATATTTCTCGTCTTATGGATTATGCTCAACAAATTGAGGAAGAGAAACTAGAAGGGAGAGCTAGGGAGAAAAAGAGGTCTAGAAGTTATGATGGTGATTTCTCTCATGTGAGGTCCGATGGACATGGTCGTTCTAGGAATCGACAAAGGTCTTCTGGACAAGATTACTCCAATGTTCCTAAGTATAATGATGATAGGGTGTCTAGTCTTAAACCGCAAGGAATTAGTAGTGAGTCCCTATGGCCTTTTCGTGCTAGGTGTGATAGGAGACATGTGGGTAAATGCCTGGCGGTTTCCAATGTTTGTTTCGGTTGTGGTGAGTTAGGCCACAAGATAAGGCATTGCCCTACGGTTGCTAAAAATGAAGGGAATAGTCGTCGTAGGTCTCAACCTTACCTTTCATCCGGTCCAATTGGTTCGGGTGCGAATGCCCCAAAGCAAATTAGGTTCTATGCTCTCTAAGCTAGAGGTGAACAAGAGTGTCCTCTGAATGTTTCTCCCGATATGTGTTTTATGCTTATTTAGATTCCGGTGTTTCTTGTCTTTTGTGACTTGATAGACTTGTCATGATAGACTTTGATGTTGTCTTTGGTATAAATGGGCTGCATTATGGTTATGTGTATTTGATGGTAGAACCCGACTTAGTCATGATGAGTTTTGGGGTATGTGGATAGATTTGATGAATAGGGTGTTTAAGTAATGCCTAGATGTGTTGAGTGAGTAGACTCCTTTAAAAAGGGTAGAAGTGTAATTCACCATGGTTTAAAATCATCTTGTGTGATGGATGTAAAAGCTTAGTGATGACTTGCTCCGACCCTAGAATTTAAAGAAATAATGCTTAGAAGAGTCCGTATAGGCTTACTCCCAAGGGGGAGATGATGTGCTTACATAGCAAGGTCGTTGGGTGCTCTAGATGTTCATGATTGGGTTTACTTGAAATTCTCACCTTAAGAGGTGTAGTGAGTTTGGGAAGTATAGTCCCGATTTTGTAGGCTCATAAGAGATCTTGAGTGGAGTTGGTAAGGTTGCTTGTGAACTAGAGTTGCTTAATGAGTGGAACCGGTGTACCTGGTTTTCCATATCTCTTGGATATATAAGGGTGTTGGAGATCCGACATTTATAGATCCCTTAGAAGAGTTGAGAGTTAATGAGAATCTCCCTAATTTAGAAGTACCAATTGGGATCTTAGACCGACAAGTTAAGAAATAGAAGAACAAGGAAGTTGCTTCCATGAAAGAGTTAAGGAGTGACCTTTTTGTGAGGGTTTTAGTTGAGGGTACTACTTGGGAGGCCGAGGGCCAATAAGATGTCCCATTATCCTCATTTCTTACCTTCTACTCCTACTCTAGCTTGAAACAAATAGTTCCTCTTGAGTTTTCTTGTTTTGGGAGTCATGTGTGTTATATGTGTTTTTCCATGATTTCCTTATGTTATGCATGTTCTTGAAATTCATGTATAGTAAGAAAATGAGTTTTTATGATTAATTTTCCTCATGTTATGTGCATTGAGTAAGAGTTGCCTATATGCTTCATGAGATGAATTGTTGAACATGTTTTAATTATGTTTTTTGAGGGTAGAATTGCATAAAGACTCCATAAGATTTTGTTGAGTATGCTTTTAGCTTGGAGAAGGTAATTCCTCCTAAGAACATGAGAAATGTTGAAATTTCATGCATAATGGGTTGTTAGATGTAGTTCCTACTTCCTTGTGATGCATTATATATGTTTGAGATGGAGTTGATGTTTCCTCCTTGTTTTGTACATTGTTATGATGTTGCATGCATGATGGGCTTCTAGTCTTGAGTCTTTACTTCCGTAAGGTGTCTAAATCGTCAATCGAGGACGAATGTCCCCAAGGGGTAGATATTGTAACACCCTGTAGCTTAGTAGGTTAATTAGGGCTAAGTGAGAAGGCAACAAGTCAAGGGCAAGTGGTAAAAGCCAAGGGAAATGGGCAAATGGTGCCCCATCTTCCCAAGGCACTGCCCATGACCACGTGAGCCTTCATGGCTTGTGGTGGCCACCACGCCCCGTGGTGGTGAGGCAGTAGCCTCCTCGAGGCTGCCCAACTTGACCTCCTCCACACAAGCCACTTCACGGCTCGTGAAGACCTTGACGGGCCGTGGGAGGGGTCGTGAGGTTGACTTAGTTTTTAGGGGTTAATAGGAAGATTGCCTAGCTACTAGATCATGACACAAGAGACACCACGGCTCATGGAGCCTCACGTGAAGGGCTTTTTACTAGACCTAGAGTTTAGGGTCAACTTCAAATGATCATATCTCTTAGCTCAAAACAAATTAGGTGGGCAATGACCTATAAAATTAAAGGTCGTTGAGTCCTCTTTCTAACGCCACCGAGTTAGGCCAATTCCCATCTCGGAGTAAAAAGTTATTCCCGAAATAGTGAAGCACTGTCAAGTGAAATTCTTCACGACCCGTTTGACGGGCCGTGGTGATGATGACGACCCGTGAAGGCCTCATTCATGCCATTTCAGCAGTTTCTAGTAAGGGGAGTTCTAGGGTCTTTTCCCAATTGTTTTAACTCAAAGATATGTCGTTTTGCCCAAGCCTAGGGCCCCTATATAAGTCATTTTAACCCCTAAAACTCACCCAATTAAGTCATTTATTCCAAAACCCAAATAATTCCCAAAGTTCATCCTCTCCAAAAATTCTCTCTCTAGAAAACTCAAAGAAGAAGAAGAAGAAGAGGAGTAGGGTCAAGCTAGGTCAAGTCAAGACTCAATTGTACTATATATATATATATATATATATATATACTGATTTAGTAACAATTAAGCAAAATTAGTTAAGGGGTATATAATATAATTATTTAGTGGAGTATAAATGTAAGGGGTATATGTTTGTAATTATTTTGTTTTTATGAGGTATTTACTTAATTTACCCCAAAATTTAACTACTACCCACATAACTCTAACCAACTATCAAACCACCTCTTATAAGTACCATATTACTATTTTATTAGTATATGTATTATACTTCTCTCTTACCATGGGTAGCATAATCCAAGGCCATTTTAACTTCTACATTAATATCCAGCAAACTTGGAGCAAAATACAAATATTGTTTTAGAAAGGGTGCTTACTTGTAAGATCTAGCGATTAATCAAATTATCACATTGGGGATGAACGTAACAGGGAAAGTTGCTAAATCAGATTAACGAACATGGTAATATGCTAATAAGTCCCAAATACAGGACCTTAAAAATATCATAAAATAGAGCAGAATCAATAAGAGTTATAACTTACTACAATCCTACTCTCATCATGTGAAGTGATTGTGTAAATATTTTTTACATCGACGGTGCGTAGAACTTAAACTCTTTCCTGTTTAACTAGCTCTACACAATTGTGAAATACTTTACACCACCAGCTTCCATTTTGTATCCAGATTACCAGAAATCAAGTGTCACCCTAAACTACAACTGTTCTTCTGTGAAAATTGGATTCCCAACAATCAGAAATGTCAGTTGGAGCAGCTGTTGGTCTAGCTAAGCTTACCTCAAGTCGTACGAGCTTCCCTAGTCTGCATGTGTTGTTAAAAAGAGACCAATGCAGTTAGCGAGAGTTGTTCTTTTCTTTTTCTGACAAGTTGGTTCTCTATTCCTATCTTTCTCCTCCTTCGAGTTCTTCTTGATCCTCCACAAGAGCTTCTTCTTTGTTGCTAATGTCTCCGCTATCACCTTCTTGATCGCCATTACCCAGCCACAAGAACAGACCCGAGGAGGCAGAATCATCTTTGTCATTTTCCTCTTCTGTTTCTTCCGTTGATTGAGAAGAAGTGGGGACATTCATCCAAGAAGGGCATTGGTCTATTTGTCCAGAAAACACTGGAATATCATATTTTGGCATAGGGCTTGAATTGTTGACTAATCTCTTCATGGAATCATTTACAATGCAAGAACATTCAGGAACTGGAAATGCAAGAAAAGACCGTGATTTGGATATTTTGGATTCCTCCAACAATCCATCGATTAAACTTCTTCTTAATTGTTTGCGCAGTGAGGCTATCCAGGTGTGGTTGGGTTGATAAAGAGTATCGCGAATCTCCTCAAAAAGTTTGGCAATTTCTTTCCTGCATTAACTCAGATAACAACACATCAGAAACCTGTCAAGGAATATATTATCCTATTTGTGTTACAACTAAAAATTCTCCAAATGGTGAAGGCAAATATGGAGATCTAAGTAGGTTGACATGCAGGTGACTTTGCAGCCAAAAAGCACAAATTGGACGACAAGCAAATATACGCTCTACTAGCACAGACCTTAGTGCTAGTCCATAAGTTCCATTTTACACACTAAAGACATTTTCCTTTGGCTGTTCTCAGTCATGGAGGTCAACTAACAAGTGAAACCTGCGGGAATTACCAGGTCTCATATTCAAACACCTAGTATTTTGTTATCAAACATGGATTTGTGTCAACTATTGAAACTTACCCTGTCTTATCAACACAACCTTCCATTGGGCATACATGTTCCATTTAATGTATGAAGGAACAAGAGATTAGTGCAATAAAGCCATGAAGAGTTGCAGTTCTAGCATACTCCCAGTATCTTGATTAAAGGAATAAGAATGACCATAGATTAGAAAAGTTGAAGAAATGTGGACAACTGAGGTTAATAACAAATTCAGATTCAATTACATCTTTTACGATTCAACTCAGAGTTTAATCAATGATTTGCAGGGTGAGCTACAGTGCAAGTCATGTCACTAAAGCAACTGTGTTTGCTTGCAAACACTGGAATATAACTGTCCCACCCATTTTTTTGTCAACCATACGCCATTAGAGGAAACTTCCAATTTTGCAAAAACTGAATGTTCTCTAATGGAATTTGATTGACAAAAGTTCCAAACATTTTTACAGTGCTTGCAAAAACTGGAAAAGAAAAATAATTGTTGTCTTTTACATCCAAATGCAGGTTATCACATGTAATACCCATTAGAGTTACAGTTCAACAAACTAGCATACTTGTAGTATTTTGTGCTTGAGCTGAGAGTGTCATGAGCTAGAGCTACGTTGTTCGGACTCTCCAAAAATGATGTTGTACCAGTGTCACCCATCGACATTCATGAAGAGTCCGAGCAACATAGAGCCAGAGAGTTACATGTTCTAGGAAGAGCAAGCTAGAGAGCTATGAGCCAAGGCTTACAATATGAAGCTCTGATGATTAACAATAAAGTAGCAAAACATAACTAAGATATGCAAGAACCAGGTCCTTCACATGTCTCAACAAAGGACCGGTAGTATTTTTTTGAGAAAGAAAAACAAAGGACTGATAGTATTCATAACAAGATATTACAAGGAACAAGTCCCTTTCCATGTTGCTACCAAGAAGTGTACTACAAAGAAACATTTCTTAGCATGATCAAAATAGAGAGTTGTTATCAAGAAGTGCATCATATGCAGTAAAGAAACACTGAAAAAACCAGGTCCATCACGGTGAACTGGAAGAGACTGTTGATAATTAAGCCAAGGCAGATTCCAAGTGCATAGAAGATTCCATGAAGAATTGGAATCGCGACAAATCCAGAGAAGGAGCAAGAAAAATATGGAAACATTACTATATTTACCAATGAGGAAGAAACTTTGAAAAATAGGAGAAAATAAGCCAAATGCGTGAAGGAAACCATGTCAAGTAAGGACTAAAATCTTAACAGGATATTGTTGAGAACAAAGGAGGGTTTTCATTGCAAGTATTATGTGCGGAATGGTTGATGTTCACAAAATTCAATGCTGAATATTGATGAAGAGCTGAAGTGATAGACAGACTGATGAAGAACTCAGTTCCTTCGATATCAGTCCATCAAATTGATGTGATTGGATGAAGTAGCAGCAGACTTATGGAGTATGTTTTTAGCTCTTTTTGGCCTCAAATGGGTCATGCCTCGGAATATCAAGGATGTTTTGATAAGCTGGAGTTGCTGGAAAGTTGATAGCACCATCAAGAGAATCTGGAAGATGATACCTGCAGCCATTTTTTAGAGTATCTAGAATGAAAGGAATAGAAGATGCTTTGATGGAATATCAACTACCTACCAATCTTTAAAAGCTAATTGCCTCATGTTTTTGTATATTTGGGTTTATTTATCCCCTCTAGATTCCCTTGATTCATTTCTGAACTTTGTCAGCCCCTGACACATTTCTGAACTTTGTCAGCCCCCTGACACATTTCTGAACTTTGTCAGCTCCCTGACTCTTAACTAACAATGTAAAGGAGAGCTGACCTTTTGCTACTAAGCTTTTGTAACTATTATGCATCTACTTGATGCCTGCAATAGAACTAATTAAGCATAAAAAAAAAAGTAAGAAGTGTGATAATGAGAACCTTACCGTTGGTTTTTCATTGGGAAAAAAGAAGTTCAAGGAGCAAAAATCTGATTATCCAGATGATCAAAATTGAAGAAGGCAAGGAGAAGAATTGGAGAACGCTCAACAAAATTACTTGGAAACACACACTTATAAACCTTCCTTCTTTTAGCAAACGAACTTATTTTCAGGTCACCCTTTGAAAACCAAGACCAAAAACTATCTTATTTCATGGCAGTGTTGTAAGTTAATGTAATAATCTATTTGGTTTGGTCGGTATGAATTAAAAGGATGCATCAAAATATCTTCCATTTTGGCATTGATGTGTTCTCGAGTTGGAAATAAATACTACTTTTCTCTCATGAGGATTATACTAAACACTGTTGCTTTTTGATGATACCAAAAAGGGGAAAATTGAGTTGATTAAAATACTACATAACTCTAAGATCATTGATGAAGAAAGAACCTGGTTCCTAACTACTGACACTGGAACAGTTTGCTGAACGAATCAGGTCCTTGAAGCAAGAGTTATGAGTGAACCTGGTCCTTGAGAAAATATGATATGGATCTGAGCAGGTTTACTTAACCTAGCCTCCTACTGGTTGCTATGAGCGAAAGGTTAGTCCCAGAGAAAACTTAGCTAAGAGCTTCAGATCTTACTAAGTCTTGATGAAAACCACGGAGTTGGTTCTTAGGGAAAAGAATTGCACCTGAGTGCACATGCGACTACAATGAAGTGTCAAGTTTATGTTGTGGGATGTTATGAGTTTGTCATCTTCAAAGAGGGGGAAATTGCTGAGCTGAGAGTGCCATGAGCTAGAGAGCTACATGTGTTGGAGAGAGCAATGTGAGCTACATGTGCTAGGGAGAGCAATGTGAGCTATGAGCTAAAACTAATTCGAGTTGAATCGGGATGACAAGAGCAGGGGTGTAGTTACACTCATGTCAGGGTGTCCAATTGGACACCTTCGTCGAAAAATTATACCGTATATACAAGTAAAATGATAAACAAAGTGGTTAAATAACATATTCGAGACACCCTTGACGCAACAATGTGATGTAGGCATGTAGCCCAATGGTTTCAGCCTTCAAGGCGCCTTGAAAGAGACAAGACACGCAAACTTCAAGTATTCATATCTCACTAGTAGCAGCTCTTTTTATCCACTTTTTAAGAAGACCAGGTTCACTTAAGCACCTGGACACCCTTCGTGAAATTTCTGGCTCTGCAACTGGACAAGAGGTTGCTACTTACGCCTATATAAAGGATCTAATTGATGCTTGTGAATATATTCATACAAAGAGAGAAGACAGTAAGCCTGGCAGCGGAACTATCGAATCGGCACCGACCGAAACCGGCGTCCTCAATGCAGAAAAAGACCGGAATCGAAACTGGACCGGTACCGATAGTTCCAGAACTTTTTCCTTGTACCGTCCCGGACCGGTACAATACCGGACCGGATCGGGATAACGACTCTTTTTTAATAAACAATTAATTCATTATTAAAATTAAAAAATTACGAAATATTTCTTTTAAAAGTCTAATTTAAAATTAAAAAATTATGAAATATTTCAATCTTTAAAAGTTTAAACTCTATTTAAATTTCAATCTTTAGAAGTTTAAATTTCAAACTTTAAAAGTTTGAATTTCAAACTTGGGACAAAAGACAAATATACCCCCCCGAACTATCGTAAATGGTATGTAGATACCCTCCGTCATACTTTTGGAAAATTGATGCCCCTGTCATCCATAAACTAAAGCGTATATACCCTTCGCTCTAACGGAAGACTATAGGACATGTGGTGTAATTTTATCTGTGGAATAAGATTATGTGTATGTCCGTTAGTATAAAGGGTATATATATATGTTCTAATTTTTTGACAACAAGGGCATCGATGTCCCAAAAGTGTGACGGAGGGTATTTGCATACCATTTATAATAGCTCGGGGGTATATTTGTCCTTTTTCCCTTTTAAAAGTTTAAGTTTCAAACTTTAATTTTTAAATTATAACCGTCATTTGAAAATATAATAAAAAAAGACTTGTATTAAAATTGAAGACAATAATTAAAAAAAAGATTAAGGTGAATAGCCTATAGTTTTATTAATAAAAATTAAATAGTACAATTTGAGTTACATAATATTAGTAGAAGAATCTACACAGCCACCTTCTAGAAAGGGTTTTGTTTGAATTAGACCTCAAATTATCATACTAATAGTTCATGGTACCAAGCAAGTCTTAAATCATTTAACATGATCTGGAATTGGTTGATCGGCTAATTCCTCCAATGAATCAATGTCGTCGTCACTAAAATCTTGCAACATTTCATCAATATCATTTTCAAATTGGGTAGGTAAAGTTGGACGCGCATAACTCCTTCTCTCGACATTAATCCAATCTCTAAATAATATCGATATCTCCAAGCTGTTTGCTGCTAATAAATACCTATGCTCTCCAATTTGAAATCTTGCTACACTAAAAGGGCCTTCCGAAGCTACTGAAGATGGTTGAATAGCTAACACATCCTGAGCCACCGGTTGAAGTTTTGGAAATCCTTTGTCGCGATTGCTCCACTAATCTAGAAGATCAGGTAAACCTTGTGAATCCTTATCCGTACACTAATTAATATATGCTTCAAAATCATTTTTTTCCTCATGACTAAGTTCAAGATAACTTTCTAGCATATCATCAATTATCTTCATTATATCTACACCTAGAAGTTTCATGTTCTTCATTACGTATTACATTTATTCTACGAGAATTATACAAACCATACAATTTTCTAACTTCCATTTTATACTATATTTAATTGTTGTCAAGCTAGGTGTTTCAAAATCTTGAATATCTCAATTTAAATATATTTTTTCAGTTATTCGTGATGCACCTAAATCTTTGTAAGTTTGGTTTAAAAAATAAGCAGTTAAATAAACTTGAGGAATAGGAAAAAAATACTTTTTAAATCATAGACTTAACAGAATCTTCAAATCTTGGTTTTTTTTTAATTTATAAAATTTACTAGAATAGCACAGATATTTGGTAAAACAGAGCAAATGGTTGGATAATAAAGTCCAAAAATTTGTTTTGTAGCTAAATAAAATTTTTATAAGTTCTTTTACGTCATTCCAATCAAGTCTATAGTCCATATTTGAATTATGAGCATTTGTAAATGTTTTCTATATTCATAAGCAACTTGAAGCATTTCTAATAAAGAATTTCATCTAGTACACACTGATTTTGGAATTTTTCTAGGGGAAAGATTAAATTCACGACAACGATTTTCAAATTCTCTACATCTAGACTTTACTTGACATTTAAAAATTAAATGACTTGCAATTTCACATTTTATGTAACCATTATTATACATTGCTATACCATCTCTAACAATCAAATTATATATGTGTGTAGCACACCTAATATGAAAACTATCAATAAAAACCGGGCAAAGACTCGATTTTAGTATTTCAACAGCAGATGTGTTATTAGAAGCATTATCTAGGGTGACACTCATTACTTTATCACAAATTCCATAGTTTTGTAAAACATCTACAATAGTTTGAACTATGTAACTATCAATTTTATACATTTCACAACATTTATAACCTAAATTTTTTTTTTGCATAATCCAATGGGCAGTAATAGTGAAATAATCATTAACACTACGACCCATATTAAAAGTAATAGCCAATTTACAAGTATTATAATAAAATAAACAACGAAGATATTTAAAATGTTGACCTTGATAATCAAAAATAGCCTTTTTAATTATGTTTTTCGTAAAACCTTTAAAATGTGAATTATACACAATTTGAATATAATGAATAAAATCGGGATTTTCAGCAAAACTAAAAGGCAATCTAATAACAACAATCATTTTAACTAATTCTTCAAGATCTTTTTCTGTACTAGGGCCAGAAACATTGGTTTAATTGCGATTGGACCACATTAGAACCCCCTACTCCTACAGATGCATTAGGAAGGGGGTACCATTCTTTTTAGCTTCGGTTACAGGTTTCACATGCAAATATTCATTTTTACAACATCTCATTAAATGATTACTCAAATAACCTGTCTCACCCTGTTTTCCAACAGTTTTATTATTCATTCTATGTTTACATTTATTGCAAATAGCTTGTGTTTTATCTTCACTTTGAGTCATAAATTGCCACAACAGATTTTTTGCCTGTTCTGGTCCGACTCAATTTTTATTTTTTTTAATAATTAAATCAAATATAGCCATTGCAAGCCGTTGGGTAGAGGGTATTGGGCCCCACCCAATGGCTATTTCAGCCTTTAACCCCCCAAAACACTCCCCTACCCCCCACCCAAACTCTTTTTAATACCCTTAAGTGATAAAATTTACATTTCTGTCCTATTTTTTAACTATAAAACCCCCCAAACTTTCATTATTTTTACTCACAAATATTCTTCATCTTTTATTCTCTCAACTCTCATGTCTCTAATTTCTACTAAAAAATCTGTTGTGTGACAATTTATGACTCAAAGTGAAGATAAAACACAAGCTATTTGCAATAAATGTAAACATAGAATGAATCATAAAACTGTGGGAAAACAGGATGGGACAGGACATTTGAGTAATCATTTAATGGGATGTTGTAAAATGAATTTTTGCATGCTAAAGTTGTAGCCGAAGCTAAAAAGAATGGTACCCCTTTCCTAATGCATTTGTAGGAGTAGCGGGCTCGAATATGGTCCAATCGCAATTAAACTCTTCTAATGTTTCTGGCCCTAGTACACAACGCTCATATAGTAGAGAAAAAAATCTTGAAGAATTAGCTAAAATGACTGTTGTTATTGGCTTGCCCTTAGTTTTGCTGAAAATCCCAAATTTATTCATTATATTCAAATTGTGTATAATCCACATTTTAAAGGTTTTACAAGAAACACAATTAAAAAGGCTATTTTCTGATTATCAAGCTCAACATTTTAAATATCTTCGTTGTTTATTTTATTATAATACTTGTAAATTGGCTATTACTTCTGATATGGATCGTAGTGTTAATGGTAATGATTATTTCACTATTACTGCCCATTGGATCGATGAAAATTGGATTATGCCAAAACGAATTTTAGGTTATAAATATTGTAAAATGCATAAATCGGTAGTTACATAGCTCAAACTATTGTAGACGTTTTACAAAACTATGAAATTTGTGATAAAATAATTAGTGTCACCCTAGATAATGCTTCTAATAATACATCTACTGTTGAAATTGTATGACTTGTATAATTCAGGTAGAATAAATGTAGTACGTAATGAAGAACTTGAAACTTCTAGGTGTAGATATAATGAAGATAATATTGATGATATGCTAGAAAGTTATCTTGAACTTAGTCATGAGGAAAAAAATGATTTTGAAACATATATTAATTAGTGTACGGATAAGGATTCACAAGGTTTACCTGATCTTCTAGATTGGTGGAGCAATCACGGCAAGGGATTTCCAAAACTTCAACCGGTGGCTCAGGATGTGTTAGTTATTCAAGCATCTTCAGTAGCTTCGGAAGACCCTTTTAGTGCAGCAAGATTTCAAATTGGAGAGCATAGGTATTCATTAGCAGCAGACAGCTTGGAGATATCAGTATTATTTAGAGATTAGATTAATGCCGAGAGGAGTTATGGGATTAATGCCGAGAGGAGTTATGGGGCCCAGCTTTACCTACCCAATTTGAAAATGATATTGATGAAATGTTGTAAGATCTTAGTGACGACGGCACTGATGCATTGGAGGAACTAGCCGATCAACCAATTCTAGATCATGTTACTAGAGAAATGTTAAATGATTTAAGACAAGACTTGTTTGGTACCATGAACTATTAGTATGATAATTTGAGGTCTAATTCAAATAGAACCCTTCCTAGAAGGTGGTTGTGTAAATTAAGTCTTCTACTAATATTTTGTAACTCAAATTATACTATTTACTTTTTATTAATAAACTATAGGTTATTTGCCTTAATCTTTTTTCTTATTATTATTGTCTTCAATTTTAATACATGTCTTTTTTCAATTATATTTTGAAATGACAAAGTTGAAACTTAAGTTATAATTTGAAATTTAAAAAAAATTAAAAATCAAAGTTTGAAATTTAAACTTTTAAGAGATAAAAAGGACAAATATACCCCCGAACTATTATAAATAGTATGCAGATACCCTCCATCATACTTTTGGGACATTCGTGCCCCTGTCGTCCAAAAATTAGAGCATATATACCCTCTATACTAACGGACATACACGTGTCATAATCTTATCCGCCTATCCGACAGATAAGATTGCACCACGTGTCCCTATATAGTCTTCCGTTAGAGTGAAGGGTATATACACTCTAGTTTATGGACGACAGGGGCACCAATGTCCCAAAAGTATGACGGAGGGTATCTGCATACCATTTACGATAGTTCGGAGATATATTTGTTCTTCATCCCAAGTTTAAAATATAAACTTTTAAACTTTGAAATTTAAACTTTTAAAGTTTAAAATATAAACTTTTAAAGTTTGAAAGTTAAACTTCTAAAGATTGAAATTTAAATAGAGTTTAAACTTTTAAAGATTGCAATTTAAACTTTTAAACTTTTAAAGATTGAAATATTTTGTAATTTTTTAATTTTAAATTAGACTTTTAAAAGAAATATTTCGTAATTTTTTAATTTTAATAATTAATTAATTTTTTTTTTTAAAAAAGAGTTGTTATCCCGGTTTACCGGTCCGGTCCAGTTCGGTACTGTCCCGGACCGGTACAGTACAAGGAAAAAATTCCGGAACTACCGGTTCAGGTTTTTTTCCGCACGGAGGACGCCGTTCCGATCGGTGCCGATTCGGTAGTTCCGTTACCGGTTCCGCTGCCAGGTTTAAGTTCAGTACATAAGTACAAAAATTCGAAATCAATGTGGAATGCTAGTTGTGGAACTTGTTTTCCCTACTTCCACTAGGGAAGTCATTTTCTCATTTTTAAGGAACTTGTTTTCCTAGAGAAAATATTTTCCAAAAACTATGAACAACCGAAAGTGGAAAAACTGAAAAACATTCTCCATACGGAACACACCCTTAGTTTCACAAGTAACACCAGTAACACCAATTATTTTTGTAGCTAAGTTGTTTTATTCAGTCATGAAATAGAACCAACTTTAAGACCAACCCTGGCCCTAATTTAGGAGAAAAAGAGAACGATTGGAGTACAGAGAGAAAAATAAGGTGTGAATAAGACATGACCAGTAGGAAAAGAATGAGTGAGTAAATGACCAAAAGGATTGTTTGCTTCGGAATACATTACCTGTCCAGACCATAAGTTCTAGATGCAGGAAACTGATACAGTCTATGACCCACAACCAAACTAGCAAGATTTGGGTTTCCTTTACCATCACGGTCAAATCCAGTGATGAATACATCTGCTTCAGTGCAAACCATATAGTCAATTGCTTCCCACAGTAACCGATGAGCATTAGTTCTCAACTCCATGATGGTACTTTCCGGCTCATCGTCACTCTCGGCTACCCAACCCCACCAACCTTCAACATTGTACATCTTCGGTCGTGCTGGGGGAGGTGGTAGTGGACGAGGTCGTGGGCCAGAATTTTTCCATGCGTGTGATCTCATGACCACATTATCTGAAGGTGGAGGTATTGAATATTGGTCAACAAGGTTTGCCTCCTGACCATATACTTTATCCCACTCCAGAGGAGAGCTTAAGGAAGTCCTATCAACAACATTCTCAAACATAGCATGCAGTGGAATTAACTTCTTCACCCCACCAAAGACCTCTCCGCCAGATATATAAATGATAGTGTCGGATGAGTAACCATATGCTCGAAGGAGAATACCAATCTGTCAGAAAATTCACTTGACTAAATATTATTTCAAACAAAATTTTCTCAATATATACCTATATATTATAATGAATTACGTTTCTCAATACATACCTTCCCATGTCTTAACTTAATGAGGTAATACAGAGACATGAAGAACAAATGACCACAGTAAGACAAGCCTCATCGTATGAAAAGGGGCAATTAACATGAAAAGCATTAGATAAGTTGGTCTTGAAACTATTGCTAGGAAGGACGTCACAAGTTCTCATATTTAGTAATGCAAGAATTTGTGGGAAGATTTTATATTAAACTGAAGGATGCAAGGTACCTCTTCAGGCATGAGAGGACACAAGCCATTACGATATTGTTCTGCTGAATCTGAAGAAAGATTCCCCTTCAGAATTCCACGTTTTATCATCCATGCACGCCTGTGCATGATGAGTTCAGTATGTACATCCTAGAGGAAAAATATATGGGCAGAACATACGTCAGATACAAGACAAATAATATGTGCAAAGCTAAACCTTGGTTTGCCATATGATGCTCCCAAGTTCTGAACATACCTGAAAAAGTTCTGCACAACCATAATATGCTAAAGCATCTCTGGTCATCCCCGGATCATAGGCAATAAATGGTTGTCCTGAAGCTCTTATTCTGTGAGAACACAAGAAATAAGCATAACCAAAAACAATCTTCATTTCAATGAGTAATAGAAATTAGTAAGTTACCTATTCAAGATTTTAATAGCGAGATTTTGGACCTCCTCTCTGAACCGTAAGGCATGAAAAGCAACCCTGCATCTCAGCTTTTGATACTCAACAAGTGGTGGAGGCAGGATAGACTGACTCATACACAGTAAAACATGACAGTCAAAATGTGAAGAAACAGTATGGTCAGAATGGACATGAAGAGCGGATGCATAGATCATCAGAAAAGAAGAATGAAGAAATAGGACTGCATATTCAAAAGAAGAACAGAGTGTCAAGCAGCATTGCAACAATAAATATGCTGAACCAAACACAGCTAAAATATTTCCAATTAATGGATGACACATATTTACAATATATTATCTAAAAAGTTAAATTGAACTCAACCTTCTACAATTTACAGCACTCTTTCCGCAAAGCATAATGTTCCATAGTTTTATAGATATGTAACAACTATTGGGTCTTTGAGTACTAGTATAAAGATGAGAAGTCAGCAAACAATTACTTTACTGGAGATACAAGATTAGGAGGTACATGCTTATGTAGATGAATGGTGATATAAGAAAGAGTTGGTTATCAAAAAAAAAAAGGGGTGAAAAAGAAAAGAGTCACTATTATGCTTCCATTTCAAGTCAAACTTGGTTGCATGAATGCAGAAGAGCTTGTGTAATAGAGATGAAAATGATTCCACCTCTTCCAAAATTATGATTCTCCTACTTTATCGAATTGGATGTCCTCGTAAAACTTCTTTTGAAATAATCCACATTTGTAAATTCTAATGCAACAAACCATCATAGTGTAATATTATGATCTTAAAAAAAAAAAGTAAAATCCAAGGGCATATTTTATTTGAAATAAAAGTAATGGATGTTACCTGCAAGCATCCACCACTATGAACAAGAAGCTCAACCACAGAGTGCTTAGTCAACATAGGAAGAACATGGTGCAGGTAAAAATATGGGGATGCCCCATGGGGAACTTTAAATGAAGGAATTTCTTTCTTTCTCCTCGCTCCTTTCAGATCTTTTGGAAGGGTTTTTACAATTTTGACATCTTTTGCTAGTGCTGCTATGAACTGATCCTCATTATAGAGGTACGGGAAACTCTTGAACTGAGTGCTGCAAAAATGAAGTTTCAAAATGTATAACGACTCGATCAGGCAGTTTAGCCATTTTGCAGTTGTATGTAATATAGATAATCATTCCATTAATATTTTAAATGTACTCCATAAGTTGAGCTCTGAAAGCAATAATATGTATTGGCTATTCTGTACGTTCTGCCTTCACACTATTAAGGTTATCAAAAAGACTATCCTCTACTGATTAAGAAAAGTTGAGAGCTGAGGCCAATGTCCCATCATTTCTCTTTCTGTTTTTTTTTTTAAAAAAAAAAGATATCTTATCTTTATGGAAAAAAGACTAGTATCATTCAATTTTTGCATCAATTCTCCAGATTTAATAAATTTAACAGAACCTTATTCCTTTGCTGCTTGTGGTTGATTGGATCTCTGGAATGACCAGGGTAACGTTGAGGAGTCTCGCAACTACAACAACATCAGAAATCTGCCAGACAATTGAAGCCTAATAAATTACTGGAGTATTTAAAAGCAAGCCTATTATGCACCCGAGGATACCTTACCGCATTCCTAATCTCATGGAAACCCCCACGTATCTTGACAAAGATGAATCCAGTTGGTTGCATTTCAGGAGCTGCAATAAGGTCACAATTGAAACAAATAGTAACAAGTAGAAAAAGAAATGGAAAACACCAAGCACAGCAGAAAATTTCTACTTACACATTTTTCAAACATTTTATTCCAGAATGGATGTTAAAGGTTACTAAAGAAGATGTGTGAAGTTGGCCTAGCCTCAGATTATATTAATATAGTAAAAGGATTGGCACTGGATAAGAAATGGCCAATTGCAGCATATGCAAGAACTCCACTATGAAAATATCAAGGCAGATTTCAGAAGGTCACAAAATGGATTATAGAAATGTCAAAATATCTTATGGAGTTTACAGTTAGTTAATTCATCCAGAAATACCAAATATTCCTTACCACACTCCACTCATTTAACTGTTTAAGTTAAGTTGCTTAAAAGTACACCAACTTAAGCAGCTGGAGAGCATTGATTCAAGCAAAACGCTTGTTACTTGCAGATGATTTTCTAAAAGTAAGTTCACATGCCCTTTGTAAAACAGAAAAATATTGCATCTGGAACTATATAGATGAATGGATATAATGCAACTGTCCTCAGATCTAGTTGACATCTTAATATTTACTTCAGGTTTTAATTAGAGTAAGGAAACATCTAAATGGAGATGTTCGTCTTTATTTGATTGAAGATGGATGAACGGACACTTGGGCCGGAAACTGATTAGTCAGGGAAAATATGGTCCTTAACTCGATTATTTCCTAATAATTATTGTATCTCACAAGTCACATTAATTGGTTAATCAACAATATCTCAACCTTGAACTACAGTTATAAGTGATTGGGAACATTACAATTTCGAAATGCCAAACAAATTACCAAAGACTGCTATAACTGGCATGATATAGACCACAAAAAATATGAAGGTGAATCTAACCTGCATAATCTCCACTCCGATTTGCAAGAGGATGTAAAGATTCAAAATGTCTAACTGGAGCCCATAGTCTACTGTAAGATGGATGCTGCATGAGAAAGTGTTCCATCAGTAGCCAACAAGAATACACATAATCAGCTCCAGCAACAGTAACTAACCATTCAGATCCATCAGCCCCCGGCAAAACACAAGAGTAACATGAACTATAGTTATTGCCGTTAACTCAAGCAAGAGAATGCAGCAGTCTAAAACAGGGATTTGAAGCTCAAGAAAAATTAGAAAATTAAAACAGGAAGAACTAAAGATGAGATCTTGGAAGGGGTTAAGCCTATATTGCTCGGACTCTCCAATTGTTGCCACACCCCTGTCAGATTCTCCAAAATGCACTACTTTTTGGAGTATCCGGCACGCACTCATTGAAATTTTTGAAGATTCCGAGCAACACAGGTTTAATCACACATTACATTATCAGACCCCAAAAAAGAACAAACTAAGCATATTACCATTAACTCAAACAAGCAATTGCAGCAATCAAAAATAGGGATTTGAAGTTTAGCATAAAAAGTTTAAAAAATAAAAAACAGGAATAACTAAAGATGAGATCTTGAAGGGATTTAAGCACATTACATTACATTAGCATACACCAAAAAAAGTGTATCAGGAAACAATTTTTTAACCAATAACTCCAGCAAAGCAAATGCAGCAATCTAAAAGAGGGATTTTGAAGCTAAAACAAAAAGTTAAAGAATCAAAACATGAAGAACTAAAGATTAGATTTTTGAGGGGTTTAAGCACATTACATTGCATCAGCAGACCCCAAAAACCAGAATAACATGAAACTAATTTTGTCACCATGAACTCACAGCAAGCAAGAGCATCAGTCTGAAACAGAAACTGAAGCAAAAAAAAGTTCAAGAAAATTAAGAAAAAGGACTAAAGATGAGATCTTGGAGGGGTTTTATTAAGCACATTACATTACTAATGGAGAGATCTGATTTCTTGAATTTAGGCATCCATGACATGATTGTAACTGAAGAATGGTACTCATAAACAATCCCATATGTATGTTTAGCTAGAAGAAAATGGGTTAATAAAGAAAGAACAGATAGAACTAGCCCAGCTAAAGCAACCAACTTCAGTTTAGACTTGAATAACATCTTCCCTTCATTTTTCACTGACACCCACTTCATCTTGTTGCTTTGCACAGCCCCAGTATCACAAAAAGACAGAATTGGATAAATAATTTGAGGATATGTGGGTTGTTCATCAATAGTAGTATATATATAGTACTAAAAGATGATGAAAAAAGAACTATTTGAATAATTGAGGGGCTTGAGCAAAATGAAAGGAGAAGTCAAAGTCAAGAGATTCATGAGAAGAGAGATAGAGACAACTCAACCGCGTATACAATGTTGTTATTACAAATGCTCAATGCTCATTCATAATAAACAGGCGCGTGGAGAGCCTCACTTTGTTTTTCCCTTTACTATTTACAAGTCGTTTGGAAGGTTGTAAAGAATAGTGTTGAAAACATTATACTAAATTTAAATCAATCATATTAGAGATTAGAGATTAGAGATTAGTAATTCAGATATTAGTTATGTTCACATTATTTATTAATATAGTATTTATTAAAAATAATATGTATTATATATTTTATTAAAAAAATTAATTATTAATACAATAATTGCTAATATCATTGTTTGTTATCTATTAATTATACATAGGATAATATCAAATAGAGTGTATAACTAATGTACATTGAACAATTGCACAAACAAGGAAATAGTAATATCAAAACTAGCTTCAGTCTCTAAAAAAAATAATCTACAATACGTTCTTATAGGTAATTTCTCGTATGATTGGTCAGGCATTTATCAACAATGAAAACTCATCTCTAAACATTGTAACATGAAAGAATATAATATAGATTTTCTTAGCAATTGATATATCTTGATTCATGCATCAATTCATGAAGATTATGTCAATCGAATTTCTATATTACATATCATAATTTATCCTACCCAATGTGTATCCTAATGACAATAGTAGGCTGGCACCATCCAAAATTGCTAATGTCACGACCCGAGCCTACACCCTAGACGTGGCCAGCACTCGAGAACCATTGCTAGTCCCCAAGCGAACCCTCATCCTAGCTGACTACAAGCGGAAAACTAAAGACCTGTTTGGATTGGCTTTTGGCTTATGACTTATAAGCCAAAAGTCATAAGTTGGGATTTCTAACTTATGGCTTTTGGCTTATTTTTGTTATTTTGGCTTTAAAATAAGTGCTTATAAGCACTTTTTAACTTTTCTCAAACACTTCAAAACTGCTTAAAAACTATTTTGGCTTAAAAACACCTAAAATAAGTCAATCCAAATGGGCACTAACTCAAGCATACCAAAGCTTAAAAACTGAATTAAGTTCAATAACTCAAATACTCAATCTTTAAAAAGATCTGAAAACTACTCAATAGATAAACTCAGAGTTTGAAAAAAAACAACTCAAAGAAGATACATACTGAAAACTACTCAAATTTTCTATCTATGAAGCCTCTACTATTACAGAAGGATATCAAGACAAGACTCACGACATCTCAAAACTACTAACTGTAAGATAAAGGTGAAGTACTCCAGAATATGAAAAGGCTCACCAACGCTGACTGCAGTATCACATGACCTCAACGAAGCGCCTGTTGATGATCCTGAATACCTGTATCTGTATCATGAAATGATGCAGGCCAAATGGCTCAGTATATGGAATGTACGAGCATGTAAGGAGAATTCTAAAGCATAAACATAAGCTTGAACTTGATAAATAAGAAACATACTTACCTCTTCTCAACTCACTTAGCTCAAGAATATGATACTCAACTCAAGATACTCAACTCAAAGATATGATACTCAACTCAAAGGTATGATACTCAACTCAAAGGTACTCAACTCCAGATACTCAACTCAAGATACTCAAGGATAAAGCAACAATAAAAGATGCAATATGTGGAAAGTTCTTAAAACAGTAGATAGCAACTCAATGTATTGAAGAATATAATAACAACTCAATTTGTATATAAAAATACAATATAACTCAGTGGGAGATTCTCTAACCAACAACCATCATTGTGAGTTATATGATGATTCAACGTCTCGCCCACGCTGCCAGAAATGTCCTATACCTTGCCGGGGTATAGAACTCCTCAACTAAGTGGAT